GACCTATCCATCTGTATGGAAAACATCCCTTATCACCCCTAGATTCAAAACAGGACCACGTAGTAATATTATTAACTATAGGCCAATTAATTTGACATCCGTGCTCTCAAAAACCATGGAAAAAGTCATCCAAAAATAGCTATTATCATTTTTACTTTCGGCTAGTATGATCAGCCCATCCTAACACAGGTTTATGACTAAACGCTCATGTTTCACATCGCACCTAAAATTTTTTGATCAAATTACCCAGAGAAGAGATGTTGGTCAGTCAGTGATAATTCTTTACTTTGATTTTAGTAAGGCTTTCGACAGTTCCTCACAAAAACTTCTTTTAAAACTCTCTTCATTTGGCATACAGAATCCCCTTTTATCTTGGCTCAAATCTTTATTGGAAGAGCGTAGCCAAATCGTTCGCTTTGGATCTTGCTACTCTTAACCTGTGAATAAAACTAGTGGGGTTATACAAGGAAGTGTGATTGGTCAATTACTCTTTCTCCTTTTTATCAATGAAGTGTGTTCCCTCTTTCAGTATGGTGAACCTTTCCTTTTTGCCGATGACCTGAAAGTAGTATATTTATTCTCTTCTCCCACGAAAGAAAGCTATATTTCAGCGGTAATCCAAGAAGAAATAAACAAGTTAGACGAATGAGTTATTTCGTGGAATTCGCTACTTAATGTTGAAAGAAGTGGATTTACTCACATTGGCCGCTGCCTTAACTTAAATCAAACTATAAACAAACATATACTCAAACCTCTCAACACTGTTCGTGACCTGGGTTTAAGATATAGCAACAGTCCGAACTTTTCTAAGCACACTGCATATCCAGTATCCCAAGCTGAAAAGCTCATCGGATTGATAATGATAAATTTCAATAATATCGAATCGAGATTATTATTATGCAGAAAGTGTATCTTACCCATTCTTGAATATGGTATTTTAGTTTACAGTAATTGCAGACATAATGACCTGATTAAAATTAAAGGGGTTCAAAGAATGTTCACCAAAACTCATCTAGGTATTCCGATAACAAAATCTATCACCAAAGATGTCAACAACACAAATTAGAACCTCTCTGGATCAGATGTATCAAATTAAATCTTGTCTCTATCTACCGGCTTATTAACGATATTTCTTACTCTTCGGTATCCTCCCCCTCATACTCTATGATATCATCCCACAAACTACGCATCAAAGTCAATATTCTAGCGAGTTCAAGAACCCACACGATTTTGCGCCAGAATTTTTTCGTTATTCGCTACTTAACCATGTGGAACAGACTGAGAGTGAACCTCCATTGCAGTGAAACAACAACCCGGTTCAGAGGTCTCCTTGATGATTTTCTTACTGAAAGTGGACTGTGTCACCTATTGAATATCAATGTTTTCAATAATGATTTATACGAACAAGGTCCATCATCCATCTGATTGACTGAGAAGCAAAATGTAACCTTTGAAACTTCTCACGTCTATTTTATTTTATTTCTGTTCATCTTAATATATGAAGTCTGCTTATGTTCGTATTTATCATTATTACCGTTATTAGTATCATTATTGGTCACCTGACACATTAGATATTCTTATTATCTCTTCTTATCATTCTAAACATATTTAATTTCTGATTGTCCCTTGAAATCAATTGTGACTTTCATAGCATCATTCTCAATTATTATTGCACAAATGTTTATACTAATAACCGGTTTCACTCTGTATATTATTACATAAATCTAAATGTATTTAACCTGTGGTCCACCACATACTAAAGGATTTATATTGTTTTTCTAAACTGTTGGTTTGCCCTAGAAGTCGACATTTATTACACAATTGTTATTATCATGACCGAACCTTTTCACTAGGTGTCCACTTCTTTTCTCTCTCTTTTTCCTTCTAAATAAATATTATTCTTAAGATTACGAAGTTTGTATTTAAGATAATAACTTGTGTTACGTTTAAATTAACTTCTCAGACTCGTTTTACCTTCATTATGCATATACGACTCATAAATACTGATATTTCATCATCCTTTTTACTTAATTGAGACTTTCATAGCACCACTCCAAACTATGACTGCACAAACATTTATTCCAGCGTCATATCTTACTGCAATAATAACTTATCTTTTCTTAATTATTTTCCATTTTGTTTTTGATACATACATAGTCGTTTATTCTTGTTCTGTGTTCATAAACACGCCTATTGAACTATTTGCGTATTTCACGTTCCCTTTATTTCTATTCAATTATTTTTTTCCTCTCCTTCTTTAAACTCAGTTCAATATTCTGAATTACACAGAAACTGATTTATTATTATCGTTCTATTATTATTACTCTCTTTTTTCAAACATGGGAAATATAATGCTAACATGATTGAAACTTGTGTATCGTTGCATTTTCGAAGAAGCTCGAAATGGTTCGTTCACAACAATTATGTACTCATAAGATGTTTGTGAATAAGAATAATAATCCCTGCAGATAGATATTTGATCCTATCTTGTTGGGAACATTTTTATTGGCCCTCAGGTATCAAATACTTTGGTGTTAACTGTTTCTTTTATTGTTTCGCGCTACTTTGCATTAAAGGAAACAGTATAGGCTGCACCGTTCGAGGTATTTTGTATTTTTTATATAATTTGTTCTATTTCCTAAATTATAACCGTTTAAATTGAGCAGGGAATTTGTGTTTTGATGTAATTTAATACGAGTATCTCGAAAACGCTTGGTACGCTACACAAAAGAAGTTAGTCTGACCTATTCGAATAAATTTTGGTTCGTCAGTCCTGCGTTCAAACCGAATACTGGCAGTTCGGTCGTTACACTTGACGTTTTCCAATAGAACAACGAATCTTCAAAAGAAAGACAAACTTTGTGATGAGTGAACTCCGAATATCAGAATACACAAAATCTTCTTAAGTATTCTTAAGTTACTTTACCAATATATATACCGTAGAGATGTCTTTCACTTCTATTCATACAAATCCTTTCACACACTGGACACTGTGCCTATTAAAAATTGCATGTCTCTTATCTGTTAACTAAATAAATAAAAGTAAATCTATGGATGAAATTTATCGAGATCACTAAAGGAAGGGGAAAATCCTGTCACAAATCATTTAAGCATGTGTTTCAATTCCTCTTTAGTTTGAGGTCGATTAACTGAAGACTGTAAGAACACCATGCTCAGTCCTATCCTTATAATAGGTACAAGACACAAACCTGAGAGCTATCAGTCCGTAAACCTCAATAGCCTGGTTGTTAAAATTTTAGAAAAGATTATTGAGAAAGAGTTGTTTATGTATCTCGACGAAAACCAGACTCTTTTTAAAGAGGAGCATGACCTTAAACGGATCACTCATGTTTCACAAACCTGCTAGTAGCCTGTGTAAGTTATTGCGTTCTTAAGGATCAACAGTTGTCTATGGGTGTGACATACAATGACAAACTGACGAAATTCCTCACAGCGGACTGTTATATAAGTTAAGTAATATCGAGATAAGAAGTAACCTATTTATGTAGATTAAGGACTCTCAACTAGGCGTCAGCGAGGAAAATCGGTTAACTCAAAGTCGTCTAGCTGAGAGACAAATCTCAGCGGAGTGCCTCAGGGTACACTTTTAGGGCCTGTTGTTTTTCCTGTATAAAGATGACTCTCCTTGTCTAATATAGTCGTCGGTCTTGTTATATCCTGGCGATGTCCAGTTATGGAAATTGATAAGAAGTAAAGGTGATAGCTTAGAACTTCGAAATGCCCCACAGAAATTACCTGAATGTTTTCAAACATTGGCAGCTGCCGATAAATACTTCCAAATGTGTTGTGATACATATTGGTCATCAAGGTACACATAGATACATGATAAATATCACTGAGTCACTTGTTGTCCAGACTTGTTGTCCAGGCTCAGGAGTCATCATTAGCCAATACTTCAAAACTACTACTCACTGTCGTGCGATAACCCCAAAAGGTTTTAGAACCTTGTGGTCAATACGTAAAGCTTTTAGCTATGTCGATGCTACAACTTTTTCGACTTTATATGCAGTATCCATTCGCCCTAAACTCTGGTACTGCATGCAAGCAGCTAGCTACCGGCTAACGAGAAACAGTGAGCTGTTGGAAAAGCTGATTACCAGAATTGCAAAGCTCCCGTATGATGCTCGACTGGCTAGACCAGATCTATTTCCCTTGTCATTTGGAAAAAAAATGGGCGACTTGATCACAGTTTTTATATTACTTGGGGATAAAGTGGCATATCACATACCCATACTTTTCTTGTTTTACAAGACACAGAATTTACGAGAACACTCTAGAAACGTTCACAAGCCCAGTATAAATTATTTGTCAGCTAACTATTGATTTTCATATCAAACCACCAACGAATGGGATTGATTACCTTAGAACGTAATTAAAGCCCCATCGGTCGACGTTTTTAAAAGAAGATTAGATCATCTGATAGTATGGCCTTATGTTTCTCATCCTTCATCTGAACGTTTAATCTCTAGACTACCAAGCCGGCACCCATAGGTGTGTGTACCAAACGTCAACCGATTCACGACACTGTGCGGCTGTTTTCCATGGTTCTTGGTAGATAGCTGCCCCACACTCGACATGGGTCACAGATAATGACCAGAACTCTGGATATTTCTCATGAAGTTAGTCACTGGTAAGCACCGAAGCTCCTGAGTCCAAAGTTCGCGAGAGGGAACATAAATGCACACTGCTAAGTGGTTGCATACTAGGACAAAGTGTCCGTTAAGTGCCTCAGGGTTTTTAATCGAAGTCTATCCTCGAGCGGTCTACGTTTTCAGCAAAACACCACACATAATCTCCCGTACGCACCTTCATTACAGACTCATCAAAAACAAAAGTAACTCAAAGCAGACGCTAGCGCTTTCGAATAAATCCATCTACCTGTTTTTCACACAAATAATATTTCAGTTACTCGTTACATTCCAAATGCTATTGTCTATTGGACATGATCTACGTGGTGCATAATTTGTGTGGTTGCGTTACAATAAGCTCACTATTATGACTAACGAACCTGACCCTCACCGGATGTGGTGTGACCTTAAAGCCTATATAGATAAAAAGCCACCAGATACCTGTTCTGCTGCAACACAGGATGAGTATTTTGTAGGAATCCAGAGTAGCTTTGTTCAGTTAATCACACGTTTCCCTCTCTTCACCGTTGAACATAAAATAGAGCTAGAAATGTGGAATGTTCTGTATAAAACTCAAATTAACTCACTACAGTCGTTGGTAAGCTTTCAAATATCTTTCATCATTTTGTGTAAATAGGCATTTAAATTGACCAGGTGCATGTAGATGACTTAAATATTCAAATAAACTTGCTTATTTCATTTTTGGTCAGGAAATTAACTTTTAGTTGCAATGTCGTCTGTATTGACTTCAAATTTTCTTAAGCTATGCTGCCTATACTTTTGCTAAGTTCCCTTTTATTTCCCCATTCTTGTTTGTTTGGGTTGTAGATCATCAGGCTCCGGGTACTGTAGAATATCTTAGTATCGTAGATATTGTCCTAAGGAATTCACTGACATTTATGCGTCGACAGTTATTAGTGTACGTGACAGTCCGCTTTGGGCTTCCCACAAGTGACGCATAGATAGCATCCATAAACGGTTGCACAGATATGTATCATACTTTACGACACAGTAGAAGTTGACGTTATTACGAGGATAGAATGAGAAATGACTTAAACATCTGTGCATATGAAGGCACGTTAAATACAGTTCCTGATGAATAAGTAAAGCTGAACGATGAGAGAGAAAGTATGCAACTACGCCGTCGGGATTTATTTTAACACATAGATATTGGTACAAGGAGGCACCAAATACATATGTGCCACACAAATTTCATTCGATATGTGTGAAGGCTGTGATACTGCCCGTGTGCCCGAACCGAAGCAGGTGGTGTTCTTAGGGGGCCACTCCCCGAGCCTTCGACCCGAAGGTCTGATCCACAAGGCAGTGGAGCATCGTAAGGAGATGCAGTCCCATGGAAGACGGTGACCAACAATTGGTTCATATGCCATTTGTTCCCGCAGGATACTGGAGCCCATGTGCACCATTGGTTTGGAATCCGGTTAAAGCGCCGGACATTCGCTTTTCATCCTCTCATTTTTGTAAACATTACCCCCGCCACGAGAAGGCAGTGAGTCGGACTTCGCTGGCAGAGGCTATATACGCGTGGCCATGTGAGAGCATTTGGAAAGAGAGATAGCGGACTCTCCCCACTCTCGGCCGTACCAGGGCATTTGGGGGTGATTAAAAGTATTTCGTTAGTGTTACACCTTAAGGACCAAATTATTGATCCTCATAGAACTGTACCATACCTTGATTTACCTAGTTCTGGTTATTTTCCAACCAACTGTCATGTTAGCCAACATTCTGCATCAACTCAGGAGTATTCAAGCGTACGTAATACATCCTGTCCATTTCATTCTCTCGACTGGGATTTCAAGGTTCTGCCAGTATTTCCCTAACTTTGTCTATTTATTATTTTCCATTAAAATAATACCTGAGCACTTAAGTCGTTAGCTGATTGATTCTAGTATCTATTTTATCTTGAAATGAATCGTCCAAAATTTTCTTTTATAGTTAAACCAACGTTTATCCGGTACCGGAAACAGTGGATCTCTTAAATGTTCTACTATGGAGCTCAAACTTCGATTGGTTTTATTGTTAGATCGTGCTTCAGGTATCTATTTCAATCTTATATACCAATTGCTTCAACCAATTTCTGAACTTCCATGGCCTAAAGTGGTAAGAATGTCCTGGATATTGTATCATTTATAACTAAAAGGTTGTCACTAATTTTTATGAAGATCAGGAGTGTTGGATAGTTACTTGCCGATTTTGACTATTCGTAAATCCACGTTTTATCTCTATTTATTGTCAGTAATTGAAACGTAACTGACCAAGAGCAGTTATCGTGACATATTAGCAGGTTTTAGTTATCGCAGCGACCCATTTGAACGACACTAAAGAACAAGATCTCTTTGGAGTTCTGTCGTAGTAGCAATAACGTTTGAAGGCGGTAGAACTAAAAAATTTAATCTCACAACATAGATTTGAGTTTCCCTTTGATGTCCTAGTGAAAATTCTTGCTACTCGTTGAACGAGATTGTGACATATTAAAATAAATAAAAATAAAAAAGTAATTATTTGAACACGTAGATATTGGTACAAAGAGGCACCAAATACATATGTGCCACACAAATCTCATTTGATTTGTGTGAGGGCTGTGATACTGCTTGGGTGCCCAAACCAAAGCAGGTGGTTTTCTTGGGGGGGGGCAACGCCCGGCGCCTTCAACTTACAGGTCTGATCCACAAGGCAGTGGAGCATCATAAGTAGATGCAGTCCCATGGTAGCCCGTGACCAACGATTGGTTCATACGCCATTTGTTCCTTCAGAATACTGGAGCCCATATACACCATTGGTTGGGAATCAGGCTTTTCCAACTCCCCTAGGAGGTTTCTCCATGTCCACCAACCTGGTTAAAGCGCCGGACATTCGTCTTTCGTCCTCTCAATTTCGTAAACAACAGTATTGCCACGAGAAGGCAGTGAGTAGGACTTCGCTGGCAGAGGCTGTATACGCGTGGCCACGTGAGAGCATTTAGAGAGAGAGCGGACTCCCCACTCTCAGCCGTACCAGGGCATTTGATACTGTGCAGTGTATCGTACTTTATACCTTTGTGATTTATGTTGTAAATCATTTATTTGAGGACGAACAGAAATCCAGGTTTGGTGTTATTTAATCGAAAATTTTAACATCTTGTTCACGAGGACTACATGTAACGTACCAACTAGATATGTTAGCAGAAAGCTCATTACCAACTTCTTTTCTTCGTCTAACCACAAATTGCTCAACAACGATCCGTAGTATGGCGATTTGGTCTGTGTACGACCGATCCTTACGGAATCCAATCTGTTGATCTCGAAGCTGGACGTTTATTAAATCTTTCATCCTATTCAGCGACACTGTTGAAACTTCTGGTACCGACAGTAGTGTGAGGTCTTTGTAATTTTCACACTTTCTCAGATCTTTCTTCGATATCTCGATGAGTTACCCTTCATTCCAGTCTGTCGGTGCCATTGTTCCTCGTTCAAAATCTTCCTGAATAGCATGTGAAGCACGTTTGCAGTTGTTTCTATGTGTGACTTCAGTGCTTCGGCTGTTATATTGTCAGGTCTTACTGCTTTCACACTCTTACCATATTTCCTTTCCAGTATCTTCGTTGTGTCATATAGTTGTCTCACATTTCCTTCTCCTGCAGCTTTTGATGCTGTCGCTTCTAGCTCTTCCACGTACTTCTGCTTATCAGCTCTAACGCTCTTCTTTACTTGTTTGTTTGTTTCTGTGTATTCAGCTTGTGCCCTGACTATCTCTGTGTCCCTTTTTGACTGCTGTTAATTGTTGTCTTCTTGTTCTTCTTTTCTTGAATCTTGTCCTGTGTTTCTATTGAAATCCCTTCCTTACGATGATGCTTGTTGTGGTCCAGCACCTCTTGATACACTGAAGGTAGTGCTTCTTTGATTCTTTTCTACTTGTCTTCCATCATAGTTTCTTCCTTTGTGAGATTTTGTAGTTCTGGGACCTGTTGTTGTGAGCTATCTTGAATTGGTTGAGTTTGTCAACATGTCGAAGGAAGGCTTTGTTGAACCTTTGTACTGCCGTCTCCCCAGATGTCCAGTATTTTCTCAGCTTCGATTTCACCTTGGCAATCACAATCTAGTGGTGTTCTGAAGCAACGTCAGCTCCTTTCCTGGTTCTCAAGTCTTCCATTGACCTCCCGAGTTTTTTATTGATACAAATATGATTTATCTGGTTCTGTGTATTGTGATCCGGTGAGACCCATATAGTTTGTTGTATGCATTTGTGTGGGAATATTGTGCCGCCTATAACTATTTCGAGAATGCACATAGATTTGCAATTCTCTCACCATTCTCGTTCCTTTCTCTTAGTCAGTCCATATCGTCCCATGATATCTTCATACCGTTTGTTGCCCATTCCAACGGCCGGTTAGGTCTTTCATCATGATTGTCAATTGCTTTCCTGGGCAACCTCTCATAATACCGATTTTTATCATCTTCGTTGCTGTCATTTGTGGGTGCATAACATTGGATAACATTCATTGTGATTCCCTTTATTGTTTTGAAAGATGTTTTGATGATCCTGGGTTCATGATATTCCTATTCTGTAGGTGCTTTTAGTATCATCGGTGCGCGAAGCTTCTTTTTCACGACCAGGGTAAAACACCCTCTCTCTCAAATGTAATCTTTTCTGTCCAGCTTGTGTCCAATGGGTTTCGTTTATAATTAGCATTGTCAAGTTGTATCTCCCCATTTCCGCAGTTATTTAACTGGTCCCCTCAATCTCCTACACTGTCCGAACATTCTTATGTCTATGTAACTTGTTTCTCTGACTGTCAGAAGGAATATGGACTTCGTAATTTCCGAAGAATCTCGAGTTTCACCATAAGGCGTCACCATTCTTCAAAATGAAGATTGTTCAACTCCAAGGACAGAGTTTAAATGGTTTACATTTTTTTATGGTTAGCGTTTCTTTAACAAGATTTCTTACTACGGGATGAGTTTCTGATCACATGCCCAACTTTCCTACCTTATCCAGGCTTAGGACTGTCGGTAGCCCTAGAAGGGCTGCAAGCGGAGTTATGAATAGTGTTAAATTTATTCCAGATCTTGTCATCTTTTTTTAGAACTCATACACCTATCGTTCATGTAATTAATTGCCGTCCCTAATAATAGCACATTTAAAGTAAGTATGCTTTGTCAAATAACTATAATTACGAGTGTACTGATTTTATAAGTGAACTTTTAGGTAAGGAAATTTTTTCGCTGGATCCTATTTACTTTTTTATTCGATGACACAGCAGATTAATTTAAATATGGTTTAATTTTCCCAAAACGCCTATTATCCATATCGGTTTCAACTATTTTCTTTTGGTTAGTGTTTTTTTAGCGAGTTAGTTTCCTACGTTATGGGATCGCTAACCCCATGCCTAATCATCCTCCTTCATGCGGGATTGGGACTGGCAGGATCCCCGGGCGGAGTTATCACTAATATTAATTGTTATTATGCTCATTTCGTTCGTCATACGGTACCATCTTGTCAACCCATCACTGCTATTTGTTTCCTCTTTTTGTTCTGTTTTCTGTCGACACAGATACTGGGTATCCTTGCGAGCGTCGACGGCATGTTAGACTCAGAGAATAATAAGAAGGGGAAACATGTTTCCGATTACCTGGATCTAGATCTGGCAACTTTTTCTGCCAACAAAACATGCAGTAAAAGAGTGAAAGATACTGAATCAAACAAATTTTTATCAATCACACAAGAATCAGACACAAATGTTATTGTACCACGTATACTATCTAGAGGTGATCGACTTCCGTCAGAGATTATGACAGTTTCCTCAAGTGTAGAAAACAGTAAAATCAGCGGCCAAGATATAAAATACCCCGACGGAATAGAAAACGAAAAAGAAAAAATCAATGTGATTACTAATCAAAATTCTAATATTCACTGTTTGGATCAAGAAGCAGCTGTTATTTACCTAGTACATCACTGTTTAGTTCATCTTGGAGATATTGCACGGTTAGTCTATATGTCATGCTTTCTAATTGTGCTTTTTCAGTAACCATATATCTAACAACTATCTTAACTTCATTTAAGCGACTAAACAGTTTGTAAACTTTTCACATAGTAAATCTATTTTAAACGTAGGTGACGGTGATTATTCGCATTTTGTCTACATTTGTAGTATGAAGAAGTGGTTTGAAAAGCTTTCTCAATGTTTACTCTAATCTTAGGATTAGTTAACAAAAGTTTGGTAAATGAAATGCTCATTATTCTTTCTATTTATATGCATAACATTAACTAGATAGGTCCAACAACTTGATTACATTTGACGTAGTGCTTTTATGATTTGTTAGGCACTTTTTTACTTCGTGACAATATGCACAACCTGTTGTGCGTGAATCAAAAACACAATAAAATAAATATTCAAAAATATTACTCATAAAATCACTGGTATTCAGCTTTATATCCTTAACAATTTTCCTTATCAGTTCATTCAATTTGTCTTTCTTTTTCAATTATCCCACTGTATCTTTCCCTGATTTATACAAGTCCTTCGGATATCGTTGTTAGTATTTATACTGACAGTTTTGAATTTGATAATTTAATCAAACTTGATTACATACTTGTTTATTTTACCTAGTAGAGTTTAATCCCTTCATTGAAAAATAATATTTTTGTACAAACATTAAACAGTAATTTGCTAAAAGTTGAGTTTATTCGAATGTTAAAATAAAAGAGAGTTCTGATTCTCAATGTTGTACAATCATAAGTATACACCTATTTCTTTCATAATGATAATAATTACAATGATAGTTATGATAAAATTTAGTTAAACTCGATAACAATCAGGTAAAACCAATAAAAGCATAAAAATGTTATTTTTATTAAGAAAACCAATAATAATATTGTTTTTAAAAGCTTGAATATTCATTATCTTGCTTCGGTTTGGGCACCCGGGCAGTATCACAGCCCTCACACATATCAAATGAGATCTGTGTGGCGCATATGTATTTGGTGCCTCTTTGTACCAATATCTATGTGTTAAAATAAATTAATAATAATATTCATTAAAGAAATTATCGTTAGAAAAGGAAGGTTCAATATGATAAGATAAAATAGGCTTGAGTATTCATTTCAGTTTCAACAATTTATCTTATTATCACACTAAATCTTCCATTTCCAATTATAATTTATTTATTTATCTTCATGATGAATATTTCAGCTCTCAATAGCACTATTACTATAAGCAAAAACTGATCAATTGTAGTCCTTAACATCAATAAGAAGTATCAAATAACCAATACAAAAAATGAATTAAACAATATTATTGTTGTTTAAAAATCCCCATCAATTTAAAACACAGATATATGAACGAAGAATATTCTTTTCAATAAATTCTCTTCAAGTTTTAAAATTATATATCTAAATTAATGATCTAAAAAAGTGGTCAGATTTAAAGTAAAGTACAGTGTTTGGAATTATAGAATGTGAATTTAGTATTGTTGAATACAATAAAACTGTTAATGTTGAAATAACGAATTTATAATGTTAACTTGAATAGGCTTATACGTTAAATGGAATTATGAGATTTATGATCAGAATAAATATGGATCAGATAGGTTAAGAGGGATATTAGTTCAATTTCAAATCAGATCAAATGTTTAGTGGAAGACTATTGTGTAAAAATTTATATGAAATTATTAGAAAATAATGTGCGGTAAATGTTAATTAGATGAATCGTATATTCAGGAGATTAATAGCGATGTTAAACCAATAATAATAATACAAAAATATGTTCATAAAGATAAAAAAAGAGAATTATATTTGACTAATAATGGTTGTAAGTCAAAGTAGATCATCCAATAGTTAAGATTACTATTAAGTGATTGGCACTGAGGTTGGCTACTGTAAGAGAGGCAGTTGAAGATGCATATAGCTCCGGTATTTTAATTTAAATGGTCATTGCTTCTTATTATTATTAATTCCCTTAATAAAAATAACATTTTTGTCCTTATTTCTATCACATCACTGTTAATGTGTCTGGCGAAATTGTATTAAAACTACTATTATTATAATTATTATCTTTTTGAGAAATAATTATATATTTCCGATTGTGTGGCTTTCAAGTTAGTTGGAAAGAGAACCCTTCGCTAAACCGATTTTTCGTACTTTATGTCTTAATGGGTATATTCCGTTCACTATTCGAATGCTGTCATTTTCACAGTTTTTAAACTGAGCATCACATTTTAAAATTAATGTTCATTAAGTCCACATCCCCAGTAGCCCATCTAAAACGTCTTATCCAATAATCCTACCAATACAAATTTAATGTCCCTTGCAATCATGATCGGTAGCAGTAAGTACCAAACTTATCCTGTGTTCTCTTTTCATAGGCTTATTCCCGATATTTGGTGTTTTGAACAGGAATTCCTAGCTACTACATCTAGTGACTTGTTTTGAACTACTTCTTGTTTAGCTCATAGTATATATAGTGATGAGTGTTATATTCACCAGGATAGCACACCCGAGGTCGATTACAGTCAGAAGACTGTCCCAGATTTCCAGAATATTTATGTATATTTGTATGTAAATAAAGAATGGTTTTACAATAAATAACGATTAGCTTATTCTAAGAAATTCACATTCAGGCTGGAATTTTAAAATCCACGAATTCAAAGGTGACCCTTAGAGGATCCACAGAAATGCATCTTCAAACGCCCTCGAAATAAATTTCTTGCATCAAATCTGATGTTAGTTTATTTTTACCCGGTCTATGTTCACTATTAACCCAACCGATAAGCTGTCACATCTGAAAAATATATTGGGGAGCTAGGTACATTGGTATTTCGATGTGCATTCTTTCTAAAGTTGTTCATTAACATTATCTATTACGTTTGAAACGAGGCTGAAGTGCATTCGTAGGAAGCTCATTAATCGAATACCTCATAAACACGGCTCATTCGATCAGAAACACGTTATTCAAAGCCATATACAGGATAGATGTAAGGTTACCAACGGCAGTGAGTTTTCGTCTTTTTCGAATTGTTGAAGCTTCCCCCTATCCATTTGGAATAGCCAGATTTATGAGTTCGAAACAAATTAATTCAGCTAATTCTTCTGCCATATTCTTCACCTTCAGTTTTTCAAAGCAATCTCTTCATCTACCTCTCCTGTTATCTTGACGCTTTTTAGTCATAATTAGTTTGCTTCTTTTCTCATATATTTTCGAGTTCATTTCACTTCAATCCTAGGGTTCATCTTATTCACAACCCACTTTCACGGTTATTCATATTTATGTAAATTCTATGAAATTCTTGATGAATATTTAACCACTACTGTTATTATTCCTAGATTGCTCCTAGTTCCATGTTCACTAATTATTATCATCAACAAACATATCGTCAATCAACATTACGAAAAAAGTATATGTTTACAATTGTACGGGTTTGGGAGTTATTAATTTGCGTGAAACAGATCTTTCTGGCGCTATATTTTATTTTTGTAATCTAATCTCTCAAGATGTATATTTTTTCAGGTACCGTCAACAGCCAAATGTTGCCGCTGGTTATTACCTTTGGTCTTGGGTTGTACACCCTGATTCTGGTCATTCTTTCAACCAGTTAGCTATTTTAGAAGCAACTAAGGTAGTTAATCATCTTCTTTTACATATTTGTGTAGAATTTGCAAACTGTTAAATAAATATTTAATTTGTAATTAATTTTCGTCGCAGTTTTAAAACATTGGAGCACTAGGTGAAAATTTCGTCTTATTTTCAAACTCCTAAGCAGTCCATACGTATGATTGCCAAGTTCTACTTCTGGAACACTGATTTGAAATCTAGTGGTGTATATTGTTTGCTTCAATCGAGTCACAGCGTAGACCAACAATCATTCAATGTCTGTAGTGTGGAAAACAGTCTTACTCTTGACACAGTTAGTTCCCATTAGGCATGGTTGTTCGTTTGAACTTCAGAATGAGTTCCAAAACTATCTATTTGTGATTGACTTTCAACTAAAGAGTTAATTGTATATTAAGTTTGAAATCGGAATATGAACATAGGCATACCATTCAATCGTTTGTTTTCTATCATCCGAAGAGTTTTTGCAGAATATATCAAAGTTAAGACTTGGAAAACTTATTTCTCACTATTTATTAAGAAACAATGTTACATGTAGGTTGATGGCACGACTAAAATGAGGGTTTGCATATTTAGTCAGATTTATCGGATAATTCCAAGATAAAATATAAGTGACCTTCTAAAACTCCAGAATTGTAAGTAAAAGTAAAATAAATTGTCTACAAAGATGTACTACTGTAAATACAGATGTAATTGGAATTTCCCTAAATGTCCAGTTTTATGATACATCTTACTGTGAAATATACCAAATATAGAATAAGAATTTAGGATAGTTCAAAAGAACCAACAAGGAACGGTGATTAGTAGACAAACAAGCAATTAAATCTTAACAAATAACATATTTGTAAAAAGTGTTCTTCATAGTCATCTCACAACAAATCAAAGTTTATCATTATCTAAGTCATATATGTAAACAATAAAATGGCCAGTATTAATAAGACAAATCACAAGTACACCATCAAGAATGAGGCTTTTAGTCAGTCGATCAGTCATGATCAACAAACAGCCTGGTACATATGTGCTTTGACTCAAGTCCTCATACAATATTAGCACTAGATGAAATTAACATGATAAATCCTGAAAGTATTGCATCACTAATATTAATGAGAGAGACTGAGCATTATGAATATTATTCGAAAGGACAAAGTGGAAATGTGTTATAACGTTGTGGCCCTTGTTGATAGATCACGAGATGATATCGCCAATTAGAGCCATCGACTTATTGACCGGACCAATGACGCATAAACCAATACGAACAGTCTAGACTCCTTATTGGTCCCTTGAGATAGCAGCTTTTCGCCTAACCCAGTCGATTCAGTCCAGAACGCAAATATAAGTCTCCGTTATATGGAATCGTATATTTCAAACAAACTTGGTTTATATACAAGCAAAATCAGACCACATCACACCATAAAAGAAAAAGTAACATTTGTACAATATCAAGCCAAATAGTGGTTGTGATTGTGAGAAACTGTGACTAATGGATTGAGAATAACCTGAGAATAGTAAATCATATAACAGTAACCAATAGGTCAAATAAAAGCTTATAATAAGAGGAATATAAATATATAGTTTAGTTCATAAATAGTTTTCAGCAGTTACTCGTAGTTTAATCTTCACTAGGATATAACAAAAGGTATATATAAAGAGATACTGGAACTCAAGATCTAAATTAATATAACGAATGGATGCATCTGCATCTGTTAAATCGATCATTATTGCTGGTTTGTTCTAGTTTGTATGAAACAATAAGGTACCTTACAAACTGTTATATAAGTTTAAGGAATAACAATACAATTTAATGACATAAACTGTCAGTATTTCTTAATATTATTTATAAACTTGTTTCCGTATATATATATATATATATTTTTAAATTCTAGCCTTTACCTAGAAGATGTATGGATGCTTTATTTTATTACTATATACGTGCACTAGCATGTCTACATTCATTTCCTGCTTCTATGAATAATTTATCTAATGTATTGTTGGACTATTACAAGTCATTTGAGTTATCTTCTATATGTTTTAATGATAATAATAATAATCATGAGAAACTACCTACTGATTCAATGAAAGATGTTATATTAAGTGCAAAACGCTGGCCAAAATTTACCAATCAACAAATACGAACACTTATACAGTTTTATGCAGCACTCCATTTGCATACAGGTACATAGTATAACTTATTATTTTTATTACGTAATAAATCACACAAATTGCACTGCTAATGCTATCAAATATTTAAACTACTGATGAAGTTTTGCCACCCGTAAAATATCGACTTTCTGGTGTGTAAAACAGTTTAAAATATTTTGACCATCAGTATGTCCCTACATCGTCCTTTCGATACAGTAATTATTTCTAATTACAAAGTGTAATGACAGATATCCTAAAAAGTGTTTTATGGATAGGAAAGACAATAATTCAATCGTTTTCTTGATACATAATTATGGAATATTTATTCACAGGCAATGAGATGTTGGCCTCACGTTGTGAAAAGTTGAAAGTGCTTCGCACTAACTGGTTATTTTCGTAGTATGAAAAGACCTGGCTAAATTAAACACCATATTGTCACTAATAATTTATTTATGGTTTAGCTTATTGGTGATATCAGTTCAATATATCTTTGTGGGGGATTTTCGAGGTATATTTAAGTGCGAACTCATCAGGTCTCATTCTGTATGCAGTACACAGGAAAGGGTGAGAGAATTCAAACTACAGCCTAGTAATCTACTTTTAATTGATTCTGTCTATGAGTCAGTACTCCAGCTATTGTTCATTATTTTGTGATCACTGAGACTGTTTGTAGCTGTTTGAAAAAATATATCATGTAATTTATCTATCATTATATCTACATTTGACGAAGAAAGCAGTTTTGTTGTTCAGCATTTTAATTCTCAATGATCTTCTATGCATATGACCTCACAATTGGAGGCAATACTTTTTTCAGAATCTATTTCTTTTACTCGCACCATATTAGATCCTGTCAAACTGATAAAAATGGCTGATGATCTTTTCGAAAATATGAACGACTGGAATAGTGTAGAATTGAACAAAAATCAGTTGATACGTATATTGTGTATTCATTTCTATTTAACTGACCAATACTTATCAGTAAGTTGTTTTATTTTATCTGTTTTTACGGTTTTCTGGTTTCATAGTAATAATGTGTTGACTCCGTTAACTGGATTTCATATACGCAATCTCTCCAATGTATATACGAGCTGAGGTCGTAAAAACTTCGTTTCACAAAATTTATCTTACAAGAATTTTAGCCACTTTAAAATACTTATCGGTTGCAATAATTCCCCTTTTCTGTTTCCATTGTTCCAAACCTCCATGGGGGTCCTGGGAACCGAAGTTCTACAGCTGCCTCATTTTCCCATATTTCTATTTCGTTGTACTTCATCCGATTTATATCATAGTGTGGTGTGTGTTACTTATGTCGACATAAGTAGTATATAACGCTAGTCAGGAAGAGAATGTTGAGAAAATCGAGGAGGGAAGAATGGGAACAGAAAGTAATTGGTATGGAAATGTAGGAACAATGAAGTTTGAGACAATTAATGAACACTTTTATCAAGTAACTCTGTAACTTTGTACTAAAAATAATCGGTTGTCCTCCTCTACGTTCTCCTTCACTACAATAGCACTCTCAATGTATGCGTTTGTTTTGTTAGCATTTAGTTATTATAAGCAGTGTAGGGGCTGCGACAAGTATGTATTGGTTCAAGTCGTTACATCACATCAACACAGCCAGATTAATTTATCAACACAAATACCATAGTAGTAGAAGTAATATTAGTAAAGATTAGGAGTAGGTAATTTGGTTCTAAAATAAACGATGAGTTGGCAGGGTAAAAAGCATAAGTATCTTAAAACGAACAGGAAGTTAATCTGAGACATTGCTATCCACCCAGAACAATGTCATTTAGTGTCTCCAACCATTAGTTGCGATAATCGAAAGGACTCTGACTAAAACAGTCCGTATCTGCATACACGGCTCAGTCCAACGACTTCATGAACTAATTCCACATTTTGGTTTGATTTCTCTAAGCTTTCTTCCAACCAACTTCCACACCATCAAACATCGTGCGTCTATGTAGGTGGTTGGGCATAGATGATACTTATCACAACCTCCTCATTCAACAAACACTCAGAACCTCATAAACTGACTTACCATTTTTTATTTATTACTCTGCGTCTAACCTCAACATTACTCACCCGGTAGCCGCAAAATGCACAAGTAATGTTTCGAACGCACCTGTGATTATGTGGTGTATGCTACTCATACTAACAGATATAAGTAGTATGTGGCCAAAATCCGAATTAGAATGTCTGGCAGCAGAAGAGTGAATTGAAGAGAACATAAAGGAAATCGGAGAGAAACCAAAAGAACAACAGAATTAGAGGAATGATGAGGTATGTCAAGGGTAACGCAAAGAAGATGTGCAAATGATGTATTTAATATAGGATTTTCATATTTTACTAAGCCATTGTGTAATTTTGCATTAAAAAATAAATCCGTTTCCCCACTGAGTTCTTGTTCACTACAATAATACTATTATATAAATTCCTCAATTCTAGGACACGAAATCAAATCTATCATCATTTCAAACAATAGATGGAAAATCTTTTATGCTGAATGAATATCAAACGGGCACCGCTCTACTCTTATGTTTAACGATTTATTTAATTAATTGGATTACTTCAAGTATAGTTGGTATTACATCAGAAACAGTATCATTAAATAAACAGATTTCAAGTACCATACCAAATGATGAAACAATCACCAATGTTAGTAACAACGACGATGTCAACAATGATAATAGTAATAATTCAATCAATAAGGATGAGGATTGCACCTTACTTGTTTCTTCGACTGCAAACATTCATCCTACTTCTAATGATAATAATAAAATTGACATAGCAGCATGTCAACTGGAATTATTAATTGCATTGAATTTATTATTCCTCTGGTTTCGGTCAAATCGCTTCACTGAGATTAATGCAGGTAATCACATTTTAAAAAATTATTCGCTTATATAGTATTAGTTTAAGTAGTAAGTAGCGACAAAATATCCATCATTAAACCAAATAGTTAGTATTATAATCATTTTAGGATAAAATCTTCGTATCTGTTATAAGTATTTGCACAGATATTGGTGTCAATATTTTTGTTATAAATTTAAGCTGTTGGATATTTTGAAGAGTAGATTAATTTATAATGAATCCGTTGTAATATATCGTTATTACAGAACCCCATGGGTATATTAAAACTGTACATTTATATTAAACTCACCTTTAAAAAATATAGAGACTTATCTGTTTATTTCTTTCTACAAGAAACCCGTCTTCAAGAATTTCCTAAAGTATCCAAAAAAACCTTTTCTTTACTAGTGTTGCTATGACGTATGGTGTCCGAGTCTGATACAGATACATAAACTCCTTATACGCAATTCAAGCCCCCAACCTGCTACTTATTGTGGAGAATAAGAGTAGAGAATTTAGTTTATTGGGTTAAACCCATTCACAATCACAAGCATATATATAAAGCGAGAAAGATAAATAAAACCATGTTTTCATTAATCACATGCGTTTGCCATTAAAGGATTTTTCATTGGCGCACTATATCAAGTATTATGATTGATAAATTTTTCAGTGTTACTTAAGATATTATTGCTAACATTAAGTAACTTTATCATCCTATTTATCGCTTTAATCGTTATGAATTACAAACATTCTAGTCAGTTCGCTTTTCAACAGTAATAATTAAATTGTAATTACAAATGATCATTATATAGAAATAATGTAGAACTCATATACCAGGTAGACATTGAAAACAAATATCCCTTCACATACTAATCACCATACTACATGTTAAGGAGTTCTTAAAATCACCTTATCATTAGGAAAAACGGATAAAATTTAAGTGTTCTTTTCTAATAAATCAGATTTCATTCTCACAAACATTTCTCTTTCTATGTTTTATTTAGGGAATAAATCATCTTATCAACTGACGGATAAATTATTTCAATTATTAACTCCTACATTCACTGAAAATACAGTGTACTTTTTAAACAATTTACTTAAATACTATAAGCCGTTATTACGTGATGTCGATAATCATAATGGTGGGCAAAAACAACCTACTGATATACCTGTACAAGTAAACAACAACAATGAAAACACAAGTGATAATGTTAATAGCAAAATAATCGATGCTGATATTGTTGAAGGAGAACGTGAAAATTCTTTTCTCATTGAGAATCATGTCGATCCTTGTGGTGATGATGATAGCAACCGTGAGAGTGAAGTCCATAACATCACTCCCATAGATTGGATTCGTTTAATGAAGCTGCCTGAAATGGTCGTACTACAAGTAACTTGATTTTTATTATTTATTAATACACTTAGACTATGCATGATATTGTTCTTTGCTCAGCGATCAATCAGGTTTAAAATCCACGCCGGAGCACCAGCCCCCACAAGATTGCAGGTACGCGTTGGTGACGAATGACAACTAGCATGAAACCTAAATCAAACGTAGTTCCTTCCAGACTACCTCCAACCTCCCAAGATCAAAACATTGTGCATGAGATGTTAAGTCGCTTAAATTAGTGACCACGCTACAACTTGATCGATAGCGTTCGATCAGTATAATAGGCTAGATAAATATAAAATTGGTCACTAGTCAGTCAATGTATTGTTTTTATTAACAATTATTCTTTTAGTGTTCACCTTATGTTGTTAAGTTTAAATTAGATATTTATAAATTGTTTTATCCCTTAGCATATATTTTGGCATCAATCACATTATTACAGTCCATGAAGTCACTGAATATTTATCTAACCCATGTAAGGAGGCGCAAACTTCTTCAGTGGATTCTGATTGATAAGCTTATCATATGATTATTCATCTTAACTGAAATGGTCCGAAATTAGGAATTGATTTGATAACTAATCTTTTAAATTTTGTTAACAATTTCATGCTTCATATTTAATTTAAACTGAAATATGCGTCATTAATTTGATCTTCGCAGATGAACTCACATTTGTCTTTCATTAGATCCTGAGTTTTATCTCACATATATTTTTCTCTCAAATCATATTATCTGTCCCTAGTCTTCCTTGTTACCATTATTGCCATCACTACTTCTAATACTCTGATTTTTTGCTTTTTTGATTTGATGTTCGAACTCAAACTGATTCACATATTTGTCAGGGTAGCCGTTCCGTCCTACTTTATGGCAGTGAAACGTGGCTGGTAAGAGTAGAGGATATTCGTAGGCCACTAGTACTTGATCATAGGTGTCTTCGAAACATTGCTCGTATATCCTGGGACCATCGAGTAAGTAATGCAGTTGTTAGGAAACGGGTACTAGGTAAGGATGGCAAACCGATTGATGAAGTGGTGAAACTTCATCAGTTGAGATGACTGGGACACGTGTTACGTATGCCTAACCACCGTCTGCCTCGACGTGCGATGTTCAGTGGTATAGGAGTAGGTTGGAAGAAAGCTAGGGACAGCCAGACCAAAACATGGCACAAATCCATGAGGTCACTGACAAGTGAACTGAGTCATGTTGGTAGGTGTATACTACCCGGTTGGGGTGCGCGAGATGATTGCAACCGATGGTTAGAGACCCTGAATGACATGGCTCAAAATCGTTTGCAATGGTGCAGGTGCATACACTCTTTGTGTTCTTCCTAATTTTAATGTCCTGACTCCTCCTTGTCTCTTTTTCCTCTTCCTAAATTTATTTCACTGGGTTATACTTACTTACTTACTTACCTACGCCTGTTACTCCTAATGGAGCATAGGCCGCTGACCAGCATTCTCCAACCCACTCTGTCCTACGCCTTCTTTTCTAGTTCCATCCAATTCTTGTTCATTTTTCTCATGTCTATCTCCATTTCCCGGCGTAATGTGTTCTTTGGTCTTCCTCTTTTCCTTTCTTTAGCCTTGAGGATTCCATGTGAGGGCTTGTCTTGTGACACAGTTGGGTGCTTTCCTCAATGTGTGTCCTATCCACTTCCAGCGCTTCTTCCTAATTTCTCCCTCCGCTGAGATCTGGTTTGTTCTCTCCCACAGTAGGTTGTTGCTAATAATGTCTGGCCAACGGATCCGAAGTATTTTGCGTAGACAACTGTTAATAAACACCTGTATTTTCTGGAGGATGGGTTTTGTAATTCTCCAGGTTTCTGCCCCATACAGTAGAACTGTCTTGACATTTGTATTGAAAATCCTGACCTTGGTGTTGATTGACAGTTGCTTTGAGTTCCAGATGTTCCTCAGTTGTAAATATGCTGCTCTTGCTTTGCCGATCCGCGCCTTCACATCTGCATCAGATCCACCGTGTTCATCAATGATGCTGCTCAGATATGTGAAGGCTTTTTCATCTTCCAAATCTCCTCCGTCAATTGTGATTGGATTGGTGCATTCTGTGTTGTATCGGAGAATCCTGCTTTTCCCTTTGTGTATATTGAGACCTACTACTGCTGAGGCTGCTGCCACATTGTTCGTCTTCTCCTTCATCTGTTGTTGCGTTTGGGATAGGAGGGCCAGATCATCAGCGAAGTCTAGATCGTCCAACTGCATCTTAGATGTCCATTGTATCCCGCGCTTCCCTTCAGACGTTGACGTCTTCATGATCCAGTCGATCACCAGGAGAAAGAGAAAGGGTGAGAGTAAGCAACCTTGCCTAACACCGGTCTTCACTTCGAACGACTTTGTCAACTGTTACTTACGTACTTACTTACGCCTGTTACTCCTCGTGAAGGAGCATAGGCCGCTCACCAGCGTTCTCCATCCAACCCTGTCCTGGGCAATCCTTTCTAGCTCCGTCCAGTTGTAATTCATCGTTTTCATATCTGCTTCTATTATCCGACGCAATGTGTTCTTTGGCCTTCCTCTTTTTCGCTTCCCTTCAGGATTCCAAGTTAGGGCTTGCCTCGTGATGCAGTTTGACGATTTGCGTAATGTATGTCCTATCCATTTCCATCGTCTTTTCCTAATTTCTTCTTCAGCTGAAACTTGGTTTGTTCTCTCCCACAGAAGGCTGTTGCTGATGGTATCCGGCCAATGGATGTTGAGTATCTTGCGAAGACAGCTATTTATAAATACTTGTACTTTCTTGATTGTGGTTGTTGTAGTTCTCCAAGTTTCAGTTCCACCTGTCTTGTTGCTCTTCAGTGTTGGTGATTACCTCGCCTTCCTTGCTTTTCACTGGTCGTTCTGGTTTGCAGTGTAATCCATCATATGAACTCTGTATGATATTGACTATCTTCTGAGGCACGCCGTAGTGTCGAAGAAGTTTCCATAATGTTGTTCTGTCCACGCTATCAAATGCTTTCTCATAGTCAATGAAGTTGATGTAGAGTGATGAATTCCATTCAATTGATTGTTCCACAATGATTCGTAGAGTTGCGATTTGGTCTGTACACGATTTATCCTTAAGGAATCCTGCCTGTTGGTCACGAAGTTGGGCGTCTACGCAGTCCTTCATCCTGTTTAACAATACCCTGTTGAAGACTTTTCCCGGTATGTTGTCCGGTCCTGCTGCTTTGCCACTCTTGATTTCTCTGATGGCCATGCTGATTTCTTCAATTGTTGGTGTCCAAAATAGATTGGGAGGTCTGTGAGTGCTGCTTCGATGTTGGGTAGGTTCAGTGGAGCTGGTCGATTCAAGAGTTCTTTGAAGTGTTCTACCCACCTGTTTTGTTGCTCTTCAATGTTGGTGATTACCTTGCCTTCCTTGCTTTTCACTGGTCGTTCTGGTTTGTGGCGATTTCCAGAGAGTTTCTTTGTCGTGTCATACAATTGTCTCATGTTTCCTTCTCTTGCAGCCTTTTCCGCCTTCGTTGCTAAATCTTCTACATATTTACGTTTGTCGGTTCTGATGCTCCTCTTCACTTGTTTGTTAACTTATGTGTATTCAGCTTGTGCCTTGACTTTTTCTGCTCTTGTTCGTCTGGTATTGATTGCTGCCTTCTTGTTCCTTCTTTCTTGAATCTTATCCAGTGTATCAACAGTGATCCATTCCTTGTGATGGTGCTTCTTGTGGCCCAGGACCTCATAACATGTTGAAGTGATTGCCTCTTTGATCCCCTTCCAGTTGCTCTCCACAGTAGTTCCTTCTCCATTGAGTAGATCATGAAAGGCCTGGAACTTGTTGCTGAGGACTATCTTGAATTTGTTGAGTTTGTTAGTATCCTGAAGAAAGGCCGTATTGAACTTTTGGGATATTGTCCGCCCCGTTGTCCAGTGCTTCTTGAGTTCCAATTTCATCTTGGCAACCAGCAAGTAGTGATGTGATGCTATATCAGCTCCTCTCTTAGTTCTCACGTCCTCCATCGTCCTACTGAACTTTTTGTTGATGCAAATATGGTCGATTTGGTTTTGTGTAGTGTGATCCGGTGAAGTCCATGTGGTTTTGTGTATGCGTTTATGTGGGAATATGGTGCCGCCTATGACCAGCTTATTGAAGGCACATAGATATGCAAATCTCTCACCATTTTCGTTTCTTTCTCCCAGTCCGTGTCGTCCCATGATGTCTTCATATCCAGTGTTGTCCATTCCAACCTTGGCATTGAAATCTCCCATCAGAATGGTCAGGTCCTTTGTTGGGCACTTCTCGACGATGACTGCAGCCTATTGTAGAATTGATCTTTAGCGTCTTCATTGTAGTCGTTGGTAGGCGCATAGCATTGGATGATGTTCATTGAAATACCCTCTTTCTTTGTTTTGGACGACGCTAACCCCATGCCCAACACTCCTCCTTCATCCGGGCTTGGGACCGGCAGTAGCCTCGGAGGGACTCCAGGCGGAGTTTTCACTGGATTATACTCTTTAAATAACATCTCCAAACCCTAATCTTCCCGATTACTGCTTGTACTCTATCACTATGGGATTTGAATTGACAACTGCATCTCTGTGCTAATGTGGTATGGCAACTCAAACTGATGTACGTACGTACCAAGTTCTACGTTGTTACTGACTGACTGAGCCGTCACGGCTGAGAAGTATAGAAGTAGAAAGGTTTCACTCAAGTAATAAAGATCTATTGTTTTTAGATTGTTAAAAATACTTTTTCTAGTTATTGAACAAGTCATTTGAATTGTGTAGAAGTGGTTTAGTGTCCAAAATGTCCATATATTAATTCCCAATTTACAAGTTTAAGGTATATTCCTCACGTACCTATTTTAGTGTGTCCATATTTGGGTAATGTCGCTAGGCCTGGACAAAAAAATAATAATCTAAATTTGAATACACGAACTTGTGCTCAGTTCCTGATTTTTTCAGCAAAGAAGTCTTAATGTTTCTTTTTGCTAATATTCACAGGGTTTTCAACCACTTCATATACCAACACAACGTTCATTATGTAGTTCATCAACAGATTACAATCCTGTACATCCATTTCTTCTTGATTTCTCCAATGATAAACTAGATGAATTAATAAGTCCAAACAACGAAAATATGCACGAAGCTAGTGTTCCAAAGCCCAAAGAAGTTGGATTGGAACGTGTCCTGTGCCTGTTAACATCCGCTCGGTTGGTTTATGTTCATTCTTCTAAAAACATTTCACTAAATGTTTAATGTAAACAATGTTCTGCAAATTTTTGTTTCTTAGATTTTAAATTACCACTATGGTAGGAAAAAAGCAATATATATGTTCCATTTTTCTTGATTACCACTACACATAAAATGCATCTTCGCATATGTGTTTACTCAAAAAACAGTTGTAAGTTAGTAATTACTTTACAGTTATTGAAATGATCGTCTGACCGATTGATATACAAAGTATATTAATAATTGCAAAGACAGTCCCAATAGAAATTGGTTTGTTAGGCGTCCAAACCAAACGCAACTCTTTACAACACTATTGAAATCTAAAAGTCGGCACACGCTGAACCAATTCTGTTTGTAAATTATATCTTATTATTAGGTTGTTACTATTATTATTATATTGATTCATAGATATTGTTAGATATTATTTGTCAGTATTAAGAATCATAACACTTGCATAAAATTACTGCATTATACGCACAATAAACATATCGATGCTGTTTTAGTCAATCTGTTTTATTTTATATCATCGTATCACTTGTCGTTCTTATCATTACTACGTGTATGTTTCCTCTTTCATATGTGTTTTTTTTAGTGTAATATTCACTAGTTTCAATCATACCTCTGAGTAACAACTCTTTACATTTTTGTTATACTTCATCCGTGGGTGCCATTAGCCTCTCCAATTCCCCTGTAAGGGTCTCAGAACCACAGTTGTGGGTCTGTTGAGTTTAGCTCACCGATTTCTGTTGCGGATGTGTTTTTTCAATCATTCTCATACTTTGTATATCAATCAACCCAACGACTGTTACTACTAGGATTCTCAGCATTGCCTAGTTTTTTGGAGGCAGAACACTTTATTTTAGCGCACAACTCAAAATATGCAACCAGCAAACAGTAAGAGAGATGCGAGTGTATCCAAACAAATATGTAAGCTGATGAGTCATACTCAACTAAATATGTATCTAGATGATTTCAGCAATTAACGTTTAAGTAGGCAAACGAAATGGCGCATATAATACATACAACTATCCATACTTAATCATAGATCCACTTATACATGAAGTCTAATTACACACAGACTTAAGGCTTAAAATAACTTGATTTTTATGTCAGTCACAAGTTAATTCACAAGCTCAACTCGTTCGACCATGTACAAACTTGCATATATATATATATATATATATATATATATATATATATATATATATATATATATATGAGCTGGTTCAGCTCAGAGACACCTTCAACATCTTCGTCCTGAGATACAAATATTTCCTACAATACATTCATGTCGTTGTACTAATTTAGTTTTGCAATTTGGTCTTATGCACTTATGTGCGATTCATCCAATCAATTAGTCTGCAAGCAACCTAGGACCGGGCAAATATTTATTATCCGTTCAAGTTGCTAGAGATCTAATTTGCTCATTCATAATAACATTATTATCACTAAGTGTTTTGTCTGTTGTTTTTTTCTAATCTGTTATTATTACGTTTTGCTGAAAATAGATATGTAGCTCTAATGTTCCCATCCCTAGTAAATTGGATTCCGAACTCTAGAGATAAAAATCCAGATTCCACAGAAACAACTGTCTGGTTTGGTTCATTCTGTTACAAAAGTCATTCCTCAAGCAATTTAAAAGACATGTTCAGTGTACTTAACAAACCTACAACTATTACAGCTATTAATAGTAATATTAAAGAGACTCAGTCAAATAAAACAACTTTAAATAGCTTTGAAGAGCTACGTTACACCGACACTAATCCTGTCCATTTTAACGCTGTGCTTAACAATAATGAACAAGTCAATCCTGAAGAGTCTGACATACAAAAACCGATAAACTTTGATATGTCGAATGTAAGTAAAACAGTTGATTAAACATTATTCTAAAAATTAATAATTCCTTTATTATTGTATTTCCTACTACTCTGTGTTGATAGAACTATGACTTAACAGTTACAACACTCCGATTTTAAGAACCAGATCACAGGTTTGAACCCTCTTTTACTTCTGCCTGAGTAGTTGGACACAGACCTGTACTTGATATGCAATTTCTAAGAGAAACACCTACAAAATTTGGGTGTTCGAAGTGAAAAGCACCGATTTTAGGACCCGAAATAAACAGCAACACTGTGATCCAGATGCGTCCAGCAGACGAGTCCCAAGTATGACGAAACGCACATCCTGGATTCCCATGCTAGCTAGCATCCATCTTTGTCTATCTACAAAGTTATGTTTTGTTTAGATCAGGGATTTTAAAAAATGTCAAGTGTATTTATGGAGAAAATGGATAGGTGATCATCAGATATATAAATACATTAGGTATAACTAGTCGAAAAGAAATGCTCAAGTTTAAACTCTGTAATTAATGGTAAAAAAATAAACGAAACTCCCATCCATAAATCAATCTACAAAGAAATGACCTCTATGATTCTGCTTTTCTTCGTTTATCTTTTTTGGTTTAACCGTATAGATATTCGTCAGTATAGAGTTGCGGAGATTGTTGAGCTTCATTGAGATCGTAAACCGACCTATGTTAGACCACCACTGAAAACCTGGGAGCGTTAGACTACCCTTTTGTTCTAGTATGGGACTCCTCGGCAATTTAGGTATTCACCAACGATACTCCTAATCCAAACTTTCTTCTATACTTTGCAAAAAATTAAAGTCAAGATCCTTACAGCCGAAAATACTACAAATACAATAAGCTTATCAAAACAACTATTAGTGAGAGTTCGAAACCTCCGTTTGTTGATATTCAAGACTGTAATCGATCGGTCTCTGCTGTCATATATGCATTCTAAATCGATTACATCAATATGTCGTCATTTTTTAAATCTCAATATATTTGATATGCAGAACAAAAAAGATATATTCCATTCCATTTAGAACTTGTTAGGTGAATATACCTCCGCAGTAGATAATATTTTGGCTGTTCGAAGTGAACATTACTACGTCTGAGTCTCAATGTAAACATCAACACTGAGATTAAGGTTCACTTAGCTGACTAGTCCCAAATAAAATGAAAAGCTCATTGTGAACACCCAATGCCAGCCACATACGAAATATACCAATTACTAGGACAATGTTAATTAAAAGTTCAATTTTAAAGTTATCAACCTTTATTACTTGGAATAATTCCCTGAATTTTTCACCGATGACATAAAGATTTTTTCACCATAGGTAGAATTAGATAGTTTGTTCATTTAGCGCAACTCATTTTTTTAATAGACTGTTCAATGTATGCACTTCATGTGTTTTTTCGCCTAACAGCAATACCGTTCTATATCAAGTATATACCGGATACTCTTATTGTCTAACATTGTTTAGTCTTATTAAACCTTCAAATATATATAAGCATTTCTAGAAATTACATTTCACTACTGTGTTCATATTTTAATGAGAAGTAAAAAAACTGAATCTGATATTAATTATTTGTCATTTCTTTTTTTTTAATAAATATGAAGCCTAATTTGCCTGAATCGGCTCCTCCTTGTGGTAACGGCAATGAACAATTATCTAATATCCCTGTAACTATCCATCATAAAACAATAAGAACTAATTCAATAAGTAATCAAACCACAGAATCATCATCTCCCGAAGTAACTACATCAAACGATTTTGTAGTATCGTCAACTACATCATCACTACCTTCCTCATTACTATCTCATGTTGGGACCTCTGGTGGACTTATCATGAATGCAGAGTTAGCTAAATTTATTCAAGAACAAGCCAGTCAGGTGTGTATGTTTGTTTTTCCTACACCAAATTTAACTAAATGTTACCATGTATAAAAGGTTGCAGAGATATGCTTATCTAGAGCTATCTACACAGCACCTTTTGGAGTGTTTTGATGACTATAACATATCAGATTTACGACACTGATTGAATCTATATTCCAAGCTTTCGTGTTTATTTTATTTACCAATCCTTCATATTTATTTACTTCTATCACCATGGAATTGTGTGCATCTTAGTCAAAAAGCTTCGTTTTTACATAACGAAAACATAGAATACTAGGGTATACAAACTGATCAATCGACTTGAGTGAAAAATGTCCGATTACTAGAAAATATAACACATGAAAGCTTGTCTCCGAAAACCTATCGATGTTTGGTAGTAAGAATAATACTTAAATGTATTTGCAGTAGACTCCAGACACTGATATGCAAATTAAATCAAGAAATATGGAAGCAGGATTATCTGCTAAACAGAACATGATTTTGTACTTTATATTGAGCCTGAACAGTAAGAACTATATTTTTTTGTAGTTGTTGAGATTTTGAAAAAAGATGAGTTTTAAGCAGTTGACCCTACTTGAACAGATTATAATCAACACCCCACATCCCAAGTAACAGTTACCATGCTTCTGTGTCTTCTGTAAAATAATGTATACATTTTTTCGATTACTGATCACTTATTACGAATCTCAGCGTGGATTCAAAAAGCTCGCCTAGCTTTTGCCAACTTGCATCATACTTGGTATAGCAAACATATCTGTCTCCCAACTAAAGGGGTGGGTATACCTAACATCAGTCCTCTTTGATTTATTTTACAGTAGCAGTAAAACGTAGTCCTTAAAGCTACATACCATACGTAGATTACTAGTTTTTGATTATAAGTGTCTTAGAAAACATTTCTCGCGTATTTCGGGAACAATGTGTTAACGTTAGAAGGTTAAGGGTATTAGAGAAGTATAACAAACCGGTTGATACAACCGTAAATCCTCATCTACCGAACGTGATTCATGCTTATATTCCTCCCATTGATAATTCTCTTCAAATTCATATTTATTCCACATGAAAATCAGAGATTTTGACCAAGTGTACGTTTTTTCAGACTGAATCATTTTACGTAAAATCAAATAATGTTGAATAACGTCGTGTGTTAATTTTCATCTAACATTATATTGTAGGTTGCAGCTAGACAACAACGATTCAATATGCCTACTAATTCCATTATTAATGACGACCAGCAACAACTGGATTCCACCGGAGCATCCATACCCACTACTGTTTGTGGAAATTCAGATGTTGGTTCTCTAAGAGGAAATTTACCTATGCCAGGAGTAGGAGGAGTAGAAACATCTTTATCAAGACTAAGCTTAAGCGCAACATTCAAACGAAATCTGCCACCAAGATATGCTAAATTATTACAAGCAAAAGAATTACAAGAAAAAGAGGCTTTAAAAAGTCGATACGGTCACCAAACGCAGAAAGAGGTATCGTTTTGTGTACATAAAATAACTGTAAATATCACTTGATGAATTAGTAATAGGCAGTTTTTAAGACAATTAACAAAAGATACACCAAATCTATGTTTTCTATCGGTCAATGCTCACCAAGAGGATACGTTAACAGTTTTAAGGCGACTCTGTGAGATTTAAAACTGTGATAGCCAAGTGTTGAATTCAAGAATTTTACCTTTCAAAAACATGCTACACTTCTGGTTGGTGTTAGATGAACCTAGACAGTTGACAGAAGTTTCTAAATATAGATTTGCTACAATTTTATCATTAGAGTCGATCAATACTTTTGACCAGACAATATGATATTGGTTAGCATTCTAGTACCTGCTTTTCAAACTAACGACAGTGGTTCTATGAAGATGTGAGCTGGGTTGTGATTATATTTCCCCACCCATTGACTTCAACGAAGTAGTTGATGATTACCAGAAGTTCCGGTTTAAATCGCTTCCGGATTACCTTCAATTATTATAAATTAGAAGCAATGATTATATTTCCTTAAAAATGCTCGAACCAGATTGTCAGATGAAATGGATTTACTTAAAATTCAATCGCTAAGATTTCCCTTCGTTAATAGATACTGTTTTTTCAGTCAGTTTAGTGGCAACATTCAATTTCTTGATTTGTATGCTGTGATATGTTCTAAATATTGGGTTTTCATCTGGTATAGTAGAAATTCACATCCATTTTACCCAGTTTTACTCTGGACTCATACTGCAATCTCCTAGTACGAGGTTCTTTAGCACAGTGGCATGTGGTAACCATAGTTATACGGTAAACCTTCATCATGAGACATAATCTAGGGGGAGAGAGGGACGGAAAGAGATAACTTTCGCTACCCTTTATCAGAAAACAATGTATAAACAAGTGTTTTCAAACTATTCTCGTTTGTAGTAGTAATAGTCTGTGCATATCAAATATAAACTACTGAAATCTTTTTTCTTTCGATTTTTTTCAACTGTTTTAGTTAAGCTCATCCCTATTGCCACTTGATAAACCTGCTCCTTTAGCACGTAAAGAATCGGAAGCACCCACAGACCTTATTTGTTTATTATCATCAACTGATGTAAACCCAGTTGTACTACAACATCTTCATGAACAGCATATTCAACAACGGCCTCAATGGTTTTAAATTAATTCTATGAATTAAGAAGAGAAAATTAAGTAAATGACAATGACAACATTAACACCAAGATCTTATTGAAGAAAAAGAAATAATAGTGGTAGTAAGATGAACAGGAAATTCCAATGAATTTATTTGGAATGTCTTCAACATCAACAATTCCTGAGATATTATTATTTTGCACTATTCTCAAAAAAACTAGTTCAATGCCATTGTTGATTCGTATGTTTTGTCGTTTTAGAAAACAATTAAATACTAAACTGTATATTGTAATAAGTTAAGATGGAATTGCTTGTTTCCTGTTTTGTTATTTTGTACTGTATTTTTTAGAATAATGAGATTTATTTCACATCTTGTTGAAATTTGTTAAAAAAAATTTAATTGGGATTGTAAATGTAAAACTGTTTTTCAGATAAAGGTATACATATAACTCATGAGTGAGTATAAGCGACTACAGCCAAGACGAAAGGCTTATTTAGGTGGTAATAAATGTTGTGACTAGTAATTTCATTGAGATAAACGCAACTCAAGTGTTTTTTTTTCTATTACAGAAAGAATTATAGAACATTAGTTGTGTCATGTGATTTGTGTAGCCTGTTTACGTACGTGCACAAATCATAAAATAGAGGTATGGTCTATAAAGTAAATTTCAAGATATTTAGATACTATTTTAGGCAAATTTTAAAAAACTGTGCACTGTCCACTAATAGCCTGAAGGTGAATTTCACAGAGATTTATTACAACTCTCGTAACTCGCGAAAAGTCAGTCATATCCTAGATAAGAATAAATGTCCAAATCTAACGCTGAATGATAGTTTTGATGTATTACATACTAAATAAAGCAATAGATTTCGATTTAGTGGGTCAATAATATCTTGCTTGTTATGTAGTCTGAAGCTCTGGAGTTTGATTTCATATGTGAATGTGACAGTACAAGACATGCGTAATACTTCTCCAGATAGAGACGTTCCTGTGGAGAAAACCATACAAATGTAGGAAAACCAACTACCTAAATAATGAGGCGCTTTTTATAATAACTTATAAATCACCGTATAAAATCTATGTAGAACAGACTTCTCGATTAACATACATTTGAAGTTTGGCGAAATAACTAACCCGCTAACTTGGATTAGTGTTATAACTTGTTGTTTGAATGCTACTTGTTATATGTGGTCGTCGCTGATTGTTGTGTCGAAAACGCTTATCACTTACACTTGGAACGAGGGACCTCCGAAATTCCCACGACGCGAAAGTAAAAACACAAAAACTGGTATAAGTGAATATTTATTAACCTTAAAACACGACGACAGATTGAGAACAATTCACCATATATTAGGCGCAAATCTGATTATCACCTCCAACAGTAAAACCTAAGTTTGTTTCAGACGTCTAAACATTTTTTAAATTAACCTTTTAAATGGGTATAATATTTTGCGAAACTTACTAAAAGTTTCGGGCTTATCATTTAGATTTACTAACCGAATGAGTATTATCATGAAATAGATGCCCATAAGTAGTTAATCTCAAGTTATTATTCAAGTTCAAGATTATAAACCGCTTTCCGGTTCAAATAGACTATTAGGGTTTCATAAATATTGCACGTGTCCGAATTAGAGTTAACAGTGTGATATCCGGACTTAAATAAATGACTGGTTCGAAACTACGAAGACTAGCCAGTAAAATTCAAATACTCCAAGTTATTCGTCATATATACCTGTTAGTCTGGTGTGTGTGCCACTGACATCGGCAGATATAAGTAGTATGTATCATCAATCGAAATTGAAATGCCTGGCGGCAAAAGATTGAGAAGATCGAAGGGAAGAGAACAGAGAATGATTGGTGTGGAAACGAAAGAACAACGAAGTCTAGGACGATTGATAGACATTTTGCAAATGAAGTATTAAGTGTATGGTTCTCAAATTTTACTAAGAGGTTCTGTAATTTTGTGTACAAATACTTTCGGTTATCCCCACTGGTGTTTTCGTTCACTATAGTAGAACTAATATGTGTTAAGGCTAACAGGCATACTTTATTTAAAAGGTTGGGAGAAAATATTTTCTGATGGTAACCGAAGTATGGATCGACTTTGCGAACACGGTTGTACGCTAGTTTACTTCCCATGATCCAATAGTAATGCGAATGACTGGTCTTCCCCTACATTTTAAGTCTCAAACCCTAACTAGAAATAAGGTATTTTCTCATGATCATAGCAACAGCTTAGAACAAGCTTTTAGCCATATTTATCCCTATTCTACGGTACTTACAAATTAAAAAATGGATCACATTGAGAATTAACTCGAAAATCTGAGGGACGAACTATTTTTTCATTGGAGAGGATAGCCGTTTCAGAAGGAACAGTTACCTGATTACTTATCTACACCTGTTACCCCTCGTGGAGGAGCATAGGCTGCTCGCTAACATTTTCCATCCAACTCTGTCCTGGGTAATTCATCCCAGTTGATATTCATCCCTATGATGTCTGCGTCTGATTCCTGACGCAGTGTGGTCTTTGGTCTTCCTCCTTTCCATTTCCCTTCAGGATTCCGAGTTGGCGCCTGCTTCGTGATGCAGTTTGATGATTCCCTCATTGTAAGTATTGTCCACCTCCAGCGCCTTTCCCTAATTTCCTCCAGCTGAAATCTGGCTTGTTCTCTGCCACAATAGGTTGTTGTTGGTGGTATCCGACCAACGGACATTGAGTGTCTAACGTAGAAAATTTTTTATAAATACTTATACATGTTTGATTATGGTTGTAGTAGTTCTCCAAGTTCCAACTTCATACAGTAGAACTGTCTCGACGTTCGTATTGAAGATTCTGAATTTGATATTGGTTAACAGTTGAGTTTTATATGTTCTTCAATTGTAGGAATGCTGCCCTAACTTCGCCAATCCTTGCATTTACGTCTGCATCTGATCCTCCTTGTTTATCGGTAATGCTGTCAAGGTACGTGAAAGTTCCCACCACTTCCAGAGTTTCTCCATCAAGTTTGACTGGGTTGGTGTTCTCCGTGTTGTGTATGCATTTGTGCGTGTGTATGTGATAGAAAGGCCAAATCTTCTGATTGATTCCAAGCTGTTCATTGTATTCCGTGCTTCCACTCAGATCTCGAGGTCCTTATAATTCCGTTAACTACCAAAAGAAACAGAAAGGGAGAGAGTAAGTAGTCTTTTCTTATCCCAGTTCTCACTTGGAATACGTGTCAGCTGTCCTCCATCCACAACTTCGCAGTGTAGTCCGTCGTATGAATCCCGTATGATATATATAGATCTCAGGTACACCATAGTGTCGGAGGTTTCGTAAGATCCTCCTATTCACGCTGTCAAACACCTCATAACCAAGGAAATTGATGTATAGTGACGAGTTCCATTCAGTTAATTGTTCAACGACGATCTGTAGTATGGTGATTTGGTCTGTGTACGACCGATCCTTACGGAATCCAATCTGTTGATCTCGAAGCTGGACGTTTATTAAATCTTTCATCCGACTCAGCAGCACTGTTGAAACTCCTTCTGGTACCGACAGTAGTGTGAGGTCTTTGTAATTCTCACACTTCCTCAGATATTTCTTTGGTATATCTCAATGAGTTACTTTTCTTTCCAGTCTGTCGGTGGCATTGTTCCTAGTTCAAAATCTTCCTGAATAGCATATGAAGCATGTTTGCAGTTGTTTCTATACGTGACTTCAGTGCTTCAGCTGTTGTATTGTCAGATCCTACCGATTTCCCACTCTTGACTTGTCTGATAGCCATCCTGATTTCTCCCGTCGTTGGTGGAGTGACATCTATAGTAAGGTATGTGTGTGTGTGTGTTGCTTCGATGTCCGTTTGACTGAGTGGAGCTGGACTATTCAAGAGTTCCTTGAAATGTTCTACCCATCCTTCCTCTGTTCTTGAATCTCAGTGACTGGCTTGTCTTCTTTGTCCTTGACCGCTCACTCTGGCCTACCATATTTCCTTTCCAGTTTTTTCGTTCTCTCATATAGTTGTCTCACATTTCCTTGTCCTGCAGCTTTTTCCGCTGTCGCTGCTAGCTCTTCCACGTACTTCTGCTTGCCAGCCCCGATGCTCTTCTTCACTTGTTTGTTTGTTTCTGTGTATTCAGCTTGTGCCCTGACTCTCTCCCTCTCTCTCTCTGTTCCTTTTTGACTGCTGTTAATTGCTGTCTTCTTGTTCTTCTTTTCTTGAATCTTGTCTTGTGTTTCAATGGAAATCCCTTCCTTACGATGATGCTTGTTGTGATCCAGCACCTCCTGTTACGTTGAAGGTAGTGCTTCTTTGATCCCTTTCTACTTGTCCTCCATCGTAGTTTCTTCCTTTTTCAGATTTCGTAGGGCTGGGACCTATTGTTGAAAGCTATCTTGGATTGGTTGAGTTTGTCAACATGTCGAAGGAAGGCTGTGTTGAACCTTTATACTGCCGTCTCTCCAGCTGTCCGTTATTTTTTCAGCTTCGATTTCACCTTGGCAACCACAATCTAGTGGTGTTCTGAAGCAACGTCAGCTCCTTTCCTGGTTCTCAAGTCTTTCATTGACCTCCTGAATTATTTATTGACACAAATATGATCTATCTGGTTCTGTGTATTGTGATCCGGTGAGACCCATATAGTTTGTTGTATGCGTTTGTGTGGGAATATTGTGCCGCCTATAACTATTTCGAGAATGCACATAGATTTGCAAGTCTCTCACCATTCTCGTTTCTTTCTCCCAGTCAGTCCATATCGTCCCATGATATCTTCATACCGTTTGTTGCCCATTCCAACGGCCGATTAGTTCTTTCATCATGATGGTCAATTGCTTTCCTGAGCACCTCTCTATGATAACTGCAACCTCTCATAATACTGATCTTTATCATCTTCGTTGCTGTCATTGGTGGGCGCATAACATTGGATAACATTCATTGTGATTCCCTTTTCTGTTTTGAAAGATGCTTTGATGATCCTGAGTCCATGACATTCCCATCCTATATGGACTTTCTATGGTTCTTCGGACAGCATCAGAGCGACTCTCTAATTGTGTGGAGCATTCTCTTCTTCGTGACCTGAGTACAGCAATATCTCTCCCGAATATATCCTATTCTGTCCAGATTGGGTTCAATGAGTTTCATTGATTCCGAACATTGTCAAGTTGTATCTCATTATTTCCGCAGTTATTTGGTTTGTCTTCCCGATCTCCCACACTGTCCGAACATTTCATGTACCCATATAAGTTGTTGCTCTGGTTGTTAGAAGGGGCATCAGCTTCGTTACTTCCGAAGAATTTCGGTATTCATCATTTTTCCTTCAACTCCCAGGGCAGAGTTTAAATGGTTTAATTTGTTTGTTTTGGTTAGCGTTTGTTTAGCAAGGTTGTTTTCTACAG